TTTTTTTTTTTTTTTTTTTTTGGAATGGGGTCTAGCCATGTAGTTCAGGCTGAGCTCAGGCTTGAACTATGTAGCCTAGGCTGGCCTTGAACTCAGGGTGATCCTCCTGCTTCAGCTTCTGGAGTGCTGGGATTACAAGTGTGCACCAGCCGGGCGTGGTGGCACACAGGTGTAATCCCATTACTCGGGAGGCTGAGGCAGGAGGATCGTTGCGAGTTCAAGACCAGCCTGGGCTACAAAGTGAGCTCAAGGCCAGCCTGAACTGCATAGCGAGACCCTGCCTCAAAAAGACAAAACAAAACAAAACAAGTGTGTGCCACCATACCTGGCTCTGGATGGCATTTTAGATCTAGACCATAACAATGCTTATTTTATAAGTAGGGATACGAAGCCATCTACTAAGGCTCCACAAAATTATAGTGGTTAAGGCTGGGGATGTAGATCAGATTTAGAGTGTTTGCCTAATGTATATGAAGCCTGGGTTCCATCCCCAGTACTGCCCAGGAAACAACAAAACAAAAGAGAAAGAAAAGATTATAGTGGTAAGCCTGCTGGGGATATAGCTCAGTGCTACAGCGCCTGCCTGACAAGCGGAAGGTTGTGAGTTTGATTCCCAGTACCAAAAAAATAAAAAAAAAAGAAGAGGCTAACTACACTGTTCACATCCTCCATATGCTTACAAATAGGCTTCCATTTGTCTCCATGCATCTACCAGCGACTGAGAGAGGTAGGCGGGCTGATCTTCTGTTCAGGTGAATGTGTCCATGCACCTGATCATTGTACAGTGGTAGTCCTGGGAATAAAATCTAGGAAAATTGTGTGGCATCTAGCTAGTCCCTTTTTTTTTTTTCCAGTACTGAGAATTGAACTTATCATCTCGCACTTACCAGGCAGGCACTGCCCGGTGGAGCTAAATCCCCAGCCCCTAGCTAATCTTATCTTAAAGACCTGTTATCTTAACTTGTTATCTTTTCCTCTCTGCATACCGGCTTATTTCCAATAAACATTTGAGTTTTATAGGGCTACAGATAGCCTACTTCTTAATATACTGTTTTGTGATCTGGCATAGAAAAAAGATTCTCAGCCATGTTGTGCACTGCTGGCTCTTACTCAGTTTTTTTTTTTTTT